TACTTAAGGGATCTTACAGATTGTGAACTAAGAAGACAGGAAAGTTATTGCTTCAAGGTCGTTGCTGAGTTTTTGTTTAAGGTACCTTGGTCAGCATTTACCAAGTTTTCACTGAAGATGCCTGTTTGGAATAGAAACTAAAGCACAGGTTTAGCAAGGACTTGACCATGCACATAACTTTAACAAAGTGAGTAATTTAACTGACTACCAGTTGGCTACCAAGAGGTTGAAAGTTTGAGGCCACAGCAGAAGCGCTTATGGGACGGCCCTGTCAGATTTCAATGAATCTGTGAATTCTGCTAAATACCTTGTCACAAGCAGTGCTAAATTGACTTAAAAAAAGTCAACTTAACTAAATTAACTAAAGTTAAGCCACATTGGAGTGTACATATGTACAGCTCCTTGATGTGGTGGCAGCCATCTTGTGAGCTAAGACAACTTAACTAATGCAACTCAAGATAATATACCTCTGAGGTTTAAGTTGACTCTGTTCCGCATATGTGTGTACACTGTGACAGTGAAGTCAGCTTAACTGTCAGAAAGTTAGTATGCGTGTACACACCCAAGAACACATAAAGGAAGGAAAGACCACATATGTTTCAGTAGGACTGCTTGCATTTTCAAAATTAACCATCTGTTTAAGTACTTTGCTTAGTCAGAATCTCACTATGTAGTATGGGCTGGCAGATCCTTACTTTTCTGTGGCAGCTATGATATGGCTGTACTAATAGTGCAGATTTCTCTGTACATCAACAATGTCCCTCAGTCTCAAGTAAAAGAACCTCCTTTATTTCTGAGGTGCAGTGCTGAATCCATGCTTATTCTGTTCTGGCCCCCTCTGGCTACTAGTCAGCAGTTTACTGCCAGTTGCAGTTGTGGGTTTTTAAGCATTTGTCCACTGCCAACTGGACTGAAGCCACTCCAAAACTCACTAAAATACTGAATAGCTTTCATGTGCTAGACAGTATTCTCTATCCTTTTTAATGTCTTTGTTGATGGCTGTTGAAACAGAAGAGAAACAGATCATTGTCACAGCTTTTTCCCATTTTTGGTTACACCATGTTCTCTCTACCTCACAAGTTGATAGGAATACTCAGTAGGCAATATGAGCGGTCTGGGGTCAGATCCAGTGAACTTAAAAAGTTATCAGTGAACTTAAAAGTCTTTCCACTAACTCCAGCAGGCAGTGGATCAAGAGAGTTGGAAATATTCTCTTTAAGAGTGCTGTTATAATGAAATATGTTTAATTAAAGGAAGTGATGGGTATAAGAAGGAATCACTCTTTATTTCAGTTGTTTCTCTCCATATCTTTATTTTTTTCTCTTCCTCAGCCTGCTAAACTCTGAAAACAGCAGTTTTGGCTCAGAGGGATGAAGCAGTTATGCACTAGGTTAGAATATCAGTTTTAATACAAAAGTCTCCCAGACATGAATCAGTGTGCCAGTAATTTAGTACTACTCCAGGTTAAAAATAAGTTTTATTTTACATTCCCTGTTACCTTTGTCCACCCACGTACACATGTAAATGAGCAGAGAGCCTTTCTGCCAGATTTACCTTCTGCTTGACAGGACAGTTGTGTTGTTCGTGAGGTGGTGTCATAGGAGGGGGTATTATTAAGACCTGTGAGGAAAATGCTGGCAAAAGAAGGAATGTTTTAAAAAATCCTCTTGCAGAGCTTTGTGATCTTCCCATGTTCCAAGTCTCTCTTACTCTCTCTTTTTTTTTTTTATGTTTTCTGAAGAAAGAAGAAAACAAGTTTAGCAAATCTGTAGCCTATATTTAACTTCAATTTAAGTGATACAGAGGTGCAATTTAGAAGATTAGCAATTACTTAACTGGACTAGCAAGCACTGTGCCGTAACTGATGTTTAGCAAACTGAGATCTCTAACTTTGAGAGTATTTTGCATACACTTCATTGATTTCATAGACGTTTGGGCTGAAAGGAACCCTGGAGGATCATTGAGTCCAGCCCCCGGCCCCAGGGGCAGGAAGTCAGCAGGGATCATAGATTCCCAGCAAGATAAGCATCCAAATGTGTTTTGAAGGCGTTCAAAGTGGGTGCTTGAACCACTTCAGGTGGCAGTCTGTTCCAAACCTTGGGGGCTCGGACAGTGAAGAAGTTCGTTCTTATGTCCAGCCTGAACCGGTCACAGTGGAGTTTGTGACTGTTCAGTCTTGTCATCCCTTTGGGGGGCTCTGGTGAACAGTCTTTCCTGCAGATCCTGGTGAGCACCCCTGATAAACTTATAGGTGGCCACCAGATCACCCCTGAGCCTGCACTTTTCCAGGCTGAAGAGCCCCATGGCTCTCAGCCTCTCATCACAAGGTCTATTTTCCTGACCTCTGATCATGTGCGTAGCTCTCCTCTACACCCTCTCAAGCTTCTCCACATCCTTTTTGAATTGCGGAGCCCAAAACTGGATGCAGTACTCCAGCTGTGGCCTCACCAAGGCCGAGTACAGCGGGAGAATGACGTCCCGGGATCTGCCTGAGAAGCATCTATGGATGCAAGCCAGTTTTGCTCACTTTACTAGCCACAGCATCGCACTGAAGGCTCATGTTCATCTTGTGGTCAACCGTGACCCCCGACTCCCTTTCATCTGTAGGCAGCGAGTAATGAAAGGCAATAAGTAAGCACACTATTTCTAAGTCTTTGCAAAAATCCACTGAGGAAACCCTAGATAATTCAAAAGAAAAGATTCTGTAATCAAAATGGGGAAAAAAGAATGTTCCTTGTGAACTTAGAAATAACTATCCACAAACATCTCCATAATGTGACATGTCAAAGTATATTCTTTAATGTTAATCACATTAAAAAGCTCTTTTGCTGAGATAACATGCTACTGTGTTTGGGGAGTGATGAGATGATGTGTAATGTGAATCAGAGGCAGATTAAAAATAATAGGAGTAGATTTCTTCACTGGAGTAGAAATTTAAATGCTTGCATAAACAACACGGAAAGATTCAGAGAAGCTGTGAAGTGTTATGACAGGCCATAACTTCATGGGTGGGATAGGAAGGCAAGTATTATTTTCACAGACTATCTGTGCTTATGAGAGTGTTTAACATGTTGTGGGTTTAGTATTCTCTATCATAACTATCTTTGGCTCTACACATGTATGATGTAGGGATTAAAGTGTTCCTGGGTGCATCTACCTATACTATCATCATGCAGTGATAAACTCTGGTGAATATCACACTGGAGTTTATTGCTCCATGGCGTGCGATTTGACATGTTGAGCCAGGTCAGAGCAACCCTGTCTGGCAAGGGACACCAGAGGTCAGCCTGCCATCTTAGGGCTGCTCTGACTTGGCTCAACATGCTGTGGAGGGACTGGCTGGGGCACGAGGGTGCTCCAGTGCAGGGCTAGCTGGAAGGCAGCCCCTGCACTGAAGCACCTTCATGCCCTATCCAGCTAGGTCAGTGTCTACACGTGCACTGCTGCGCATGACAAAACTCCACAACAGGGTAGTACTTGTATTTACTGCTGTGGAGTTAATTAGTTTCCTGCAGGCTAATAGGGCCACACATGTAGACAAGAGATGTTTAATGCAGAGCTAATTAGTCTACTATGCAGTAAATGTTTCATGTAGATGTGCTCTCCAAGTAGTGTATTGTTTTAAGTCCTTTCAGTTAGCTTTTTTGCAATATGTTTTAGTAAATTATACACAGTTTTGTTGCTGAGGTCTTCTCATGTATTTTGAATGAAAACCCAAATCTATAAAAATCCATATAAAAATTTCATGTTGAGCAAATGTACATGATATTTTGGGTAAGTCTAAATGAATCAAATATTTATATGGCTCTCAGTCTGATAACTCAGGAATGAAAATACATGGATTATGTTGCTAGTTCTGATGCAGCCTTCCTGTGTGACCAGGAAAGTCACTCATGCTAGAAAAAGAGAGGTTAAAGGAAGCTACCTAAAAGTAATGACTGCACAATACATTGAGATCTGCTGACAGAATTAAAGTACAGTTTTGCTGTTATCAATAAATATTTACAAAATTAGAGATGAAGATTTCCTTTCAGAAAGTTAACAATAATAAAATTAGAAGGTTAAGGGTGTGTGAAATTAATGGGGCTGAATTTGGAGATTTTAATGAAGCCATTCTTATTTAGAAATACATATTATATGTTGTTTCCACAGAGCATTATATTTATTCAATTCATAATTTTGGTTTTTTTTCCCCAAATGAAGTAGTGATGGCCCACCAATATAAGGTTCAGAGTTCATAATCAATTCATAGAAGCATCCAGATAGTCAAGTGTTTGTCATGTTTTTGATTCTGGACAATTAGTTTGGAAGTTTCTTCAGAAGAGTTTTTTACTTAATTTTAAAACTATTTAAATTATTTGTTTTAAAACGGGTGCCCTTAATAATTTACGATTTATTGCATTTAACATGGTCACTTTTAGAAGTTTATTTTCCATAATTTCTTACCTTAATCTTAGGCAATAGTGTTAGGGAAAAAACAATGAAGTGGGAAGTTTCTATGCTACCTCCTCTACTGTTATATCCCCATAATTAAATTTACATGAGAGAACAGAACATGAAAGGGAAACAAGCCCAGAGTGGGGGAATATAATAAGAGAAAGGGAAAATTAAAGTTTCTTTGAAAGGCTCATTGTTGATTGAGAAAATGTCTAGTTGTTATATCACAGTGATAAGAGATTTTGCCTTTTCCCTTTTCTATCCCAGTATTTTTTTTCCTTTCCACTTTATCATAGGTAGGATTTATTTTGGTGGGGTTTACTTTTCGTGTATGAATAATCTGTGGAAATATGTAATGTATAACTGGGATCTTAACCAATCTCAGTGGGATCCACAGTTACCTGGCATTGGTGAAAACTGAGAGCCTTTTGCAATATTTAAAATATCTACTACTTCACCATCAGGTTTCCAAGGTCCTGAATAGATAAAGTCACTCAAATGGAAGATGTATCTCTGTTTTTCTGTCAGCAATCAACTTAATTGAATTTTGTTTAATTATTTAGCACTTTCAGACCATGTTGAAGACTAAATTGAATGTCCTAACTCTTCGAAAAGAGCCGCTTCCTACAGTGATCTTCCATGAACCAGAGGCCATTGAGCTGTGCACCACAACTCCATTAATGAAGACCCGGACTCATACTGGATGCAAGGTACTTCAAAAATAAAAAAGCCCAGGTATAAGACAGTTGTTGGTGTTCTACACATGTAAGAGGAAATTTAAAAATAAAATGTTATCTTGGAAACCCCACTATGTAGCACTAATACTGTGGTATTTGTATATATAAAATCTTTTATTTGTCTTTTTCTTTGTGTGAGTTCTGTTCCTCAATAAATAGGTTCTCACAGGTGGAGAAATGAAACTCTAAATGAGTTTTATAGTTTTGGTTATAAAAATTGCTTGAATCCTGACTTTCAAAGATTCCTTATTATATTCAGTATTATAACATTTATATCAGGGTATCATTTGTTCTGGGTTAATTTAAATATGATTATTTTGCATAAATGCTAACACTGAAATGAGAGATGAGGGTCCCAATCCTGCATACGTATTCAGTGATTTTTATTAACATGACTATAATCCCATCCCATACCTATTCAATGATTCTTACTAACGTGAATATAATCCCATTGAAATAGGTTTACAGGATAAAGTCTTAGGTCAGATGTAAAAAATAAGTTAGAGTTTGAATCAGTAAAGCAACAAAATTAATTTATCCAGCTACATCAGGGTGTGTAGCAGTGTGGGGTCCCTTCTGGTAGCCCACCAGAAAACCAGTGGGTTGGATGTAACAGGTCTGTGGTCCAGATCTGGCCCATGGGCTGCATGGTTGAGCCCTCTGTTTTGGCAGAACCAAATGGTCAGTTACATTTACTGGTAGCTGAGTCAGATGATCAGCAGTAATGTGCACTGATGCAACAGTTTACTTGTCTTGGTTCTCACTTGCTATGCAATGACCTTTTCTGATGGACATGCTTACAACAGTAGTAGGTGCACTGCTACATAAAATCAGCTCCACTGGCATGCTGATGTCACCAACACTTCAGTGACAAAATTCTGTGGCAAAAATGTTGCTTTCATGTAACTCTTTGCTATAATCGAAGCTGGGAAGAGATTTTCTTTAGTATAAAGTGCTTCAAGTGAGCTGAACACAGTATATTAACTTGCAGGTTTTACTGTTCTTTCCTGATGATGTCTCTTATGCTCTATGTCAATGCATAATTAAATTTTAGGGGACATCACCACTCAAAATTATCACCCATACAGAGTCTGGTTTCCCTATCAAGTGTGAGACAGTTCAGCAATGCTTTCTGAAAGCAAATTTACCTCTGCTTGGGAATGTGATTGTGGAGTTTCAGTGATTTAGTTTTTGACTTATCCTGTGTTTCTGCAGTGTCTCTAGCACCTGAAGATGTGTTGCAGAACAATTTTTGAATCTATAAACAAACAGAATCCCAGTTCTATATTTACTGTATTTGAATCCAAGATGAGGCTTTCCCCTCCCACCCCAGTAATTCAACATGGAGAAAAAGGAAACTTGTCTTGGTTTGGAGTGAGTCTGGGGAAGGTGGGTGCTCTGGCTCTGGCTCTGGCTCTGGCCCTAGCCCTGCCTGGGAGAAGACTGTGGTGTGGGCTGGGGGAATGCAAGGGAGATTTTGCAATGCAGGGTGGGGAGCATAGGGGAGACCACATGGTGTGGCACATGGGGAGTTCAGAGAAGATGGCACAGTGGCAGGGGAGCTGCTGAAACTGTGGCTCCGGTCCTGGGCTGGGGCTACCCTTACATATGCTGCCTGGCCAGTGCCAGAGGCACTGCGTGTTCCAAGCCCTGGGTCAGAGTTGCCAAACAGTAGAGGGGAGGGGGAATATAGCTAAGGTGGGGCAGGCACCAGGTTGGGGGCAAGTGGCAGGAGGGAGCAGGCACTGGGCAGGCAATTAACTAGGGGGCAGGCTGCATGGGGAGCAAGTAGTCAGGGTGGCAGGTATCAGGGGCATTTATACACATGCTGCAGGAGGGGGCGGTGCTTTAATTAGAGCAGCTCTGAGAGTTCTCAGAGCTGCTCTAATTAAGGCGCCAGAACATCTCGTGTATCAGCATCCCCCTGCTTCAAAATGGCAGTGGGCATTGAACAAGCTTTAGATAAAGCATGCCCACCACCATTTTGAAGTGTGGGGATGCTGATACATGAGATCCAGGAGGCTGCTGCAGCACTGTAATTACCACACTCCAGGAGGCTTGATTTATTGAGTCTGCTTTGTTACACTGGAATTATATCATGTTGGAGTGGCCTCCCTGATAGGGTATAGGCACTCTTGGGGACAAGTGATGGGCAGGCAGACACCAGGGGAAAGCAAGTGGCAGAGGGGGCAGGTGGCAGGAAGGCAGGCACTGGGGGAGGCAACTGGTGTGGCAGGGCATGGGACAACCCCCCCCCCCCCCCGGGTCCCCGCGGTTGCCCCCTTT